GTAAAGTGTTCTAAAACAGGTGTGTGTGTGTGTGTGCTTCTCAAGTGGCAGCTTGATCAATCGAACACTGAACAACAGGTGGTCTGGGCTGCAGGCCCCCGTGTGCGATGCTATTGTAGGACCTAGTGAGTATACTAAACAGGCCAGGTGGTCATCTCAGGTTGTAGGCCCCCTGTCTGTGCAAGATGCCCCATGACAAAGGAGAATTTGGAATATGCTAAACGGGTCTAGGTGAAGATGCAAAACAGGCCAACAGGTCTTTGTTCAAATGTAAAATAGGCCATCTGGTTACTTGAAGATACAGACATCCTGTCTCTACAGAATTTGTAGCATACAGTTCTAAAATTTCACTCAGTAAAATACAGCAGCCATCAATACAGTTTTAATATGTATAAGCAAGGAAAATAAAGGTATTGTAGGATCCAGTACTTGTTACCATGCTAACTCTGAGAGACGAGACAGTCCAAGTAACTTCAAAACAGTGCTGATTTATTCAAAGGATCACAGGTAAAATTAACATTACACGCTCAGGTATCTTGCACCTCCAAACTGCACGCAGGCAGATGTAAGATGAAAGACCCTGAACCCACCAGGCCTATACATTATATCCCCTCGGTTGGGCTAGCCCCATACTACACAGAAACATCAACCGAGACATCTCTGTTACCAGCTTTGTAGCTGGCCCTAACAGTAGTCAAAACATGAAGCAAATCAATGTGCGTGTGTGTGTCTGTTGATTAAGTGGTGTGTAGCTAAAAACATTCTCAAAGACTTCTAGAACATGTCATGACTTAAACATAAGAACATATTATGGCTAAGGCTACAGTTATACACATCATAATAATAATATTAAACACCCTGACTGCTGACAGTCATCAACTCTTCTCTCTAGTTATCCTTGACCAGATGTACCCTGTAGAAACTCATAAGCATGACTAAGCATTTAACAGTCTAACTAGACATCCTATCTCCACTAAACATTTCTAATACAAAAAGTATC